GTAGTGCTTTCTAATTATAGTTATACTCTGCATAAGCCGTACAAAGTGTTAGCCAATTCATTATATTTAGCCCAATTTAAGGGGTTTAAGAGTATTTTGACAAATCGCACACTAATGAGAGAAATGAGAGAAAAGCATGACAGCTTATCAGAAAGTTAGCTATGTCAGCTTTTATACATTCCTGTCTCCTGCGAAAAGATTTTAAAGTAAAAAGAACAGGCATAAAAGAGAGACTAGCAGCATTATTTGAGATCTGCAGTAATTTGGCTTGCAATCTGTCTCCCTTGTATTCCTACTCAGGATTTCTCTTATTTACGTCAAACTCTGTATGTGGAGCATTTGGGGCTGAGCTCTGGAGGACCTGTCACAACATGTAGGCTCTTGCATACAGTGTGCAATGTATCACCAGTGTTATACATTCCTTACGATGGTTCTTGATTTGAATCATTGTCTCCATCCTGAGCTGAATAACAAATGAACATCTCTGCCTGCTGCTTTGACTCACTGATTTCCCTTGGCTGGGATCTTTCCTAATAGCCAACTGCCTGCCTCTCTCCACACACCAGCACTGTCAAAGAATGATGCCTCAACAACATGCATGCTGCTGGATGGTGATTTTCTCCAACAGATGGCCATTTGCTCAGGGCTGTAGCAATATCTCTGGAATTAAATGGCAAGAATGCTAAGTAGCCATGAATTTTGATTCATCTTCTGTAAACAATTTTCACTTTTCACTTTTTTTAAAGGTAAAGATTAAGATAAACACCTTAGTTTTAAAGTTAGAAATAATATATGTTTCCTTTTTTGCTAGTTAGGCTTTCACTACTTTCCCCAAACTGAAGCGTGTTTGGGATTTCCTGATGACAAAGTTTTGCTAGAACCCTAAGGAAGAGTGAAGTGGAGGGATTGAATAAAGCAATTGTTTATAATAATGAGCCCATCAGTATTATCTTACTCACCCAGCTGGTAATAAACTCTGCCAGCATGCAATTTATGTGTGTGTTTT